TCTAGTTACATTTTTCTAACACCGTATATTTTACATCAAAATAATAGTCCCCAAAATGACCTCACATACCACTAATGGAGAGGTTAACACATTTACCGAAAAGCAACTACCCTACATAATTAACACCTGATTTCTTTTTCATGGAAAAAAAATGAACATATACTAGCATTAAGTTTAAAAATGCAATGTTCAATTGAATGTCATGCATGCTACTTATGCCCTGCAGGACATCATTTAAAACTTAAAACAGTTGAACAAAGGCAGCTAAGTTGATATATTGGACCCCAAATACTCACTGTCTCAGTCTCATACTGGGATATCAATGAGCTATAGATAAACTGTACTTTACACCGAATGTAAGTGTATGATGCACACACAGAGGACAAGCTGACTGAGGCCCCCTTTGGCTCCCATCTTCCTGAGGGCAGTCGCTGTGGTTTCTATAGCTGATAAGAGTTAAAAGTGACCTTTCACTCCCTGAGGGTATGATTTCTATGCTTGAGGGAAAAGGATATAATCTGGTTTAATATGACAACTCTGCTACTTGTGTTCTATAGAAAAATCATTTTTTGAGTTCTTGATTTAATTTATAGAACACATTTTTTGTGTTCTATAGAAAAATCATTTTTTGAGTTCTTGATTTTTTTGAGTTCTTGATTTAGGGCTGATTATGATCTTCCCTAAATCAGTGCATTATACTCCTTTTACAGTAAAGTTTTAAATTACCTGCCTATGACCCTGAGTTCTGACAAAGATAGATGGACTCTACTTTTTTAACATTATTATTCCCAATATAAGATGGAATCATCATTAAAGCTCAGAGGGTTAAGAGGACATACAAATGCATAATGATTTAAATTATATTAAAATATCACTATTCCCATGAGCTGAAACTACCTAGACTTTACCTATTAATATAAAACTCTGTAATGTTCCTAGATGTTCATTTTATATTTTTTCCCATGAGAGCTGGGAGTGAACTCTTCCTAGCATATACTTTCTTCGTGAAATATACTGATTAACAACACTAGGTGAAACATTCACTTAATAAAGTTCACAACATTATATAACAAATGATAGAAAAGAAACCATGAATTCTAACCACTTTGTCCTCCTTTGGGAAAGCATCCAAGGAAGCAGAGTAAAGAGAGAGGAAAAAAGGAAGAGAAAAACAAAAATAAGGCACATATTAATAAATAGATTTTTAAGAAAAACAATTATATGTCACTCTAAAGTGTTAAAACACAGGTATACTGAAAAATAAATTTTTGCGCCCTGGCTGGTGTAGCTCAGTGGATTGAGTGCGGGCCTGTGAACTAAGCGAACTAAGGAATTACAGTTCAATTCCCAGTCAGGGCACATGCCTGGGTTGCAGGCCAGTTCCCAGCAGGGGATGCACTAGAGGCAACCATACATTGATGTTTCTCTCCCTCTCTCCTTCCCTTCCCCCTCTAAAGATAAATAAAATCTTTAAAAAAATAAATAAATAAACTTTTGCTCTTCCCCCAAGTAATTATTGTTCAATCTTTCATTACAAATGTACATGTATGAATCTGGCTATACGTCTGAGACAAAAGTCAGGTACTATAATTTTTTTAAGTTTTAGGATTTAGATGATAAAATGGACATTTCAATCATTCTCCATTTAGAAAACTTAATTCACTACCATATTCAGTCTACCTATTATTAAATAGGTACATTAAAATGCTTATAATGTGTAAGAATAATTTTATCAAACTAGTATTAAAATATTTATCATTCCATATTGAAAAGTCTAAGAATGGGAAATGTTATAATAAGTAAAAGTGAAAAAATACTTCAATTTTTAATCATAAGTTATTTCACAAGCAATATTTATCAGTAATATATATTTCAACATTTAACTGTCTTGCAAAGATAACTTTTTACATTTTTTGGTCTTATGTTCAAGATTAAATATTTCAAGTTGTGTTTACTGTACTTTTTTTTCTGAATATTTTCTCCAAAACTGGACTGGGTTTAGTTAAAATGAATGAACTACATTTGGACAAGGTGTCTGCTCCAAAGCATTACGTCCTAGCTCAATTTTCTTCAAACATGTCTCCTTTTAAAAACTGGAGTTTGACCCTAATGATTTTATTTTATTTTTAATCTTTTTTTTAGATATTTTACTTATTTAATTCTAGAGAGAAGGTAAGGGAGGGAGAAAAAGAGGAAGAGAAACATCAATGGGTGGTTGCCTCTCACACCCCCCCCAACTGGAGACCTGACTTGGCCTGCAATCCAGGCATGTGCCCTGACTGGGAATCGAACAGGTGACCCTTTGGTTCACAGGCCAGTCCTCAATCCACTGAGCCACACCAGCCAGGACTGACCCTAATAATTTCCCTTAGTTTGCCTCAGACTTATAATGGGAACTTAAACACATTCAACTGCTAAGGGCACTCGGCCAGCATTAACATTCAGTCAATCTGCACCCTAGAATATTATTCCCAGGTCTCATCTGTGGGAATTCATTCCAAACAGCATGTTCAAGAATACTAAATAAGGGATAATTATCAAGTAGTTCTTGTGAACTTTTTACGTGCCAGAAAATATCTAAACCCAAGGGAAACTAGAAAGGCTTTAAGGGGGCATACAAAGATCAATTAAAACTCACAACAGTTAGAAGGAAAAAAGAAAACTTATGTGGCCATGAGAATATAACCTAAAAAATGCATTTCATGAAGAACTCATTTTAATTATTTAATTGAATTCTCATAACAACACAGAGTAATTATCACTATCTAGTTCCATAGGTAAAGAAGCTATTGATTAGAGAATATAATTATCTTTCCAAGGCCACAAAGATAATAGTTGGCTCACCTTAAAGTATAATAATATATATGTTTTACTGAATGTCTTAATTCCGCTGAACAAGATTTTAGAATAACCTACTTGCAACTCAAATACACTAACAATACAATGTTGATTGAGACATTCATTTTAATTTTAATTGTGATTTTCTAAATTAGGAAGCTATCAAGAGTGCTTAAGCACTCTTGTGATTTTTAAACATAACTCTGAATTAAGTTAATGTCTATACATGATTAGATAATATGTGAAATTCTTTAAACAAACAGTGGGAATTATTTAGGTATATGACAATTTTAACTTCTATATTGAATTGCAGACCTATATCAAAGAAAAGCCACATGGACAACCCTATAAATAACCCTGCTGTACTAACACTGGAAATATAATACAGCACAACATTAACATGTATTCTAAACTAAATATTTATTGAAATTAATTTGGTATTTCACAAATTATAACATTGAATGTTTTCTATGAGCACACTAGTGCCTCAAAAGTTTAGATACATTTATAGCACTGGCTTTATGGAAGAAAAACTGTTATTTAAGTTGATTGGGGAAACTACATCGACTAGGACTATATCTCATAGAGAAGAAATAAGTCAAAATAATCCAATTTAAAAATGTATTTGAACATACTCTTCAAAAATCTGAATAATTTTTATGTGTTAAGCTTAGTACTGTATTTCCTTAACATGATATGCAATTATTCTCATGGAGGCTAATCATAGTTTAATTGCTGAACAGGGACCAGCCTGGAGAAGGTTTGACTCAGGCCTGCCGGTAGTGTGAGTTTTTGACTTTGTGTAGGAAGATTTCACAACCCAAGTCCAGGAGATTTTGAGAGTATGCTTATTAAGGCTGGGGACAGGGAGATAAGGAAGGACTTATGGTAGAAGAAGTAACAGGAGAACCTATGCAATGCTCTGCTTTGGCTCCTAGAAAAGTCACAGGAAAGGAATGAGCCAAGGCTGGGCTGCTGTTAGCTCCCTGGGAAGTCAGAGATAAGGTTCTTGGGAACAGGTTTAGGGGGAAAGCCCAGGTCAAGCTGCCACTACCCATTGTTCCCCTGGCTGCAGGTTTCCTGGGGACCCTGAAAGATTTAGGAGAAAGTAAAAAATGTTCCTACCCAGGAAGGTGCTTGCATGAGCTCTAGAGGGAGCTGGAATCTAAAGATTCCAGCCCTGAATCTTTGTCCTGAGGGCTTTTTCTCTTTAGTCTGTGGGTGATAATTTTAGGGAGGGTTTTAGCAGAATATTCATCATTTTTCCAGGTGCACTTTTACTATGCTGAGGTGCAAAATGAGCACATAGGAAGGTTTGGGAATATCTCTGGTTGTTACACTGTTTTGCTCTTATCTTAGGTCTGTTTGGCTTTAATGGCTTTTTTTGTTGTTGTTATTTGTTCCCCTGATTTCATCTGTCCTTGGGTTTAGCTGGTACAAATGGCACTAATTCTGTCTCTGTTCTCTATTTTCCCAGACCAGAGAGACTTAAGCTATGCATTCTTTGATTAGGGAAGAGGGGTATAAACCATTGGTTCTCAAGTATCCTTGGATAGGGGAGAGAATTCTTGTGATTCACCAGCAGGCTGTTAAGTTGCTCAAATTGTTTGGCCTTACTTAATTTTCTTGTCTCAGTTTTCTCATTCTACTTGCCCAGGAATTTGCCTCGCTTCCTACTATCCTGTCACAGTTTATATATATATTATTATATAGGATTAAATTTAATGCTACAAAGTTTACTTTGCATTTTACCTTCATTTAATCTGAAACCAATGTGGCAGAAACTAAAGTAGGAAGTTTGTTTCATTTTGTTTTTCACAAGAACTGCCATAACAACTTTCCAGAGATTTACAACTCATGATACCGTATCTACATTTACTACATTCATCAGAAAATAAATTTACTCCTACAGATAAATCAGTTGATTTTGAATGGGAATCGTGTATTAAGATACAGAGGCTATCTTTTTTATGAATGATTTTCATCACTATTCCACTGCTATGAGCCTTATGAAAAGCAAAAGGACAAAATGGGGAGGAGCACAGTAATGTGTACATTTATGCCTGTGTCCGCTCTCTAACACGCATGTGCTGCTTCTTCTTTGGAGGTGTGCAAATCGGTGTTCGCATTCAGAATTTCTCTCATGCCCCCAGAATACTCACATTGTTGGATCGCAGAGACACACGGCCTCCACAGCGGGCGCAGAATTTGGTGCGGCAGTAGGAGCAGAGATGGCCACACCCATCAGCAAACTTTGTTTTATGACAGATTCCACAAGTCGGAGCATCGTCTTTGTGCTCGCCCTGGTAACGGCGTGCTTCTTCCCCTATTTTTCTCACTTGTTCCTTATAGCTTTCAAATTGCTGATGCAATCTCCTGGCAAAAGAGAGAATGGTCACAAACTAAGTAAAAGAAAATTATGTAAAATGGAAGATAAAACATTTTTTTTCTAACAGAATAGAAGCATAGGTATTTGAACTAAAAGCAAGACATACAAATCAACTTCCCCTCCTAATCTTACCTACAGAGGTAAGAAATGTATTAGCATGTGTTCTATTAGGCCCAGTTTGGCTTATTATCCCTGAAACAGACAGGTGTACGTAGACGTTATACAATCACTGTTTGTTCCCAACAGTGGAACTCACGTATCCACACCATGCCTCTGCTTCTTTTAGACAGCATTTCAACTGGGCCTCAACACCTTCCACTCATGCGTGTGTATAACTGAAGCAAAAGTTACACAAAATACTTAGCTTACCTATATATGATGTGCTCTGATGTGTTCTATCTTACTCTAAGTTTAATATTGATTACTATTTTTAAAAAGTCTGTCACAGTAAATTGATTTCATGACCCAGTATTTATGCATGATCCATACTTGGAAAAAGACTATTTTAAACTATGTTGCTAGGCAATCTGTCTTCCACAAAATCCCTCACCACATTCCTGAAGGCCATTTATTTTGCATGCATCAACTATTTCATACAATATATAGATTGATAGCTTAAACATTATATTTGAGCTTGCTTGTTCTTGCAAGTCACATTAAAAGCTCGAAACCACACCTTGTAAATATTCAGATTTTCATATACCCCACTTTTGCTTGGATCTCTCTGAGATTGTATGTATGGGGGTTGCTACTAGTCTTTACTGATAACTACTGGTAGTGGGACAATCAAAGTCATTGAGGCAAATGATCTCCTATAAGAATATTCATTTATGCTCTGGCTGGTGTGGCTCAGTGGAATGAGTGGCAGCCTGCTAACCAAAGGGTCGTTGGTTCAATTCCCAATCAGGGCACATGCCTGGATTGTGGGCCAGATCCCCAGTAGGGGGGGGTGCAAGAGGCAACCACATAGTAATATTTCTCCCCCTCTCTTCATCCTTTCCCCCTCTCTAAAAATAAATAAATAAAGTCTTTAAAAAAAGAATATTCACATTTAATGTGATTCAAATTTCCTCTTCTCCCCATCGGTCCAAATCCCTCAGTCTTAAATCACTACAAGAAGAAACCATTATCTGTTCTTTGTAGAACACTAGGATATCCAGTGAAAGAATGCCTTGGTTTAATAAATGAGAACTGAGAGAGTCTTCCTAGGCCTTGCCGACACTCATTGGCTTTTACATCAACAGAGAAGCTCCTGGGAAGTGGCTAATCCAATGTATTGGTGTATTGCGAGTTTGCTGGATGTATTCCCTGGGACGCAGAGCACACACATGCTATTGGTAATTCAGGCAGTTAGCTTGATGCGCTGCCTCTAACTTAACGGCGGGGACGTGGTGCTCCCTGGAAACAAAACCCAGTGAGTTAAGCCTGCTGTTGAAGTGCTGGGATTTTATTACATTTTCCTCCTAACAGCAATGGCTTTTGAGCAGAAATTTACTGATTGCTTTTAAAATTCTTTCTTGCCTTGCCCATTGACACTTTTTTCCTATTTAATTCCATACTTGAGGCAAATATAGTTGCACTAGCACACAAAGTAGTTTAGAATCTGAAACCTTTCCAATTGAAAGGCTAGCTAATTTCAGTTCATAGAAGGATGTAGTGATATGTTATTTGATAAATGTAAGAATATTTGATTAATTTATTGAAGGTATTTGATACATTAATTTTTTTATAGTTTAAACACTATCAATCTGGAATCAAGTTGGTAAAAGAAAACCATGAATATCTACTATTTCAAAAGTAGTCATACAAAATAACACTAAAAATTATTTTAATAGCTTCTATTAAAGAAATTAATTATTCAGGAGTGGGAGTAAGAAAATACCTCAAATTGAAGGAATCGAAATAAACTCTAAGCACAGAGGGAGCCCATGAATAAACATGCATTGTTAGAACTGCCAGATCAAATCTGCTTAAGTATAAATGTGAAGGAGAAAGCCAGGCTAAGGGAAAAGTTTCCCTATAAACTTATTTTGTAACACATAACATGATTTAATATGGCTGTTGGCAAACTGTATGGTAAGAGGCCACATTGTAAATATTTTAGAACTTGTGGGCCACAGAATCTCTGTTTCAACCCTATTGCTGTAAACAGATAATACACATAATAATAAATGTGACAATGTTCCAATAAAACTTTATTACTGAAACAGATGCTAGGCCACTGAAGGGGTCTGACAATTCCCGATAGTGTATGCTTTATGTTGTACTAAGATAGTTTGAAATTCAAAGTGTTTTGTTAAATTCAAATATGACTTTTCTCCATCCTCTAGGGCCCAATCAAAAAGCCATCTATTTTAGGAAGCCTTTTATACAGTGTGTGTGTGCACAGCACTGACCACTGAGGCGAAACCTAACTTGACTGCCATCGAATAGTATTTCATGTGGTTAAGCACAGACTACTTTTTTAACTTCCCATATATTATTATAATTTCTGAACATGACACCTCCCTTCTACCAAACAGTAAATTAACAGGCACCGAGGCTCTGTGGCCACGATTGTGCTTTAACTTCCATGTAGGTGACGGAAAATAAAATTTTAGGTAGAGAGCCACCAAAAACAATGAAAATAGAGCATACAATAGCCAAACCAGTAGAGGGCAACACATGAATGAGGATACAATCAGTCCAAAGTAGACAAAAACTGTATACAAAGCAGGGCAATTAGAAATTATGGTATGCGATGGTAGCTCAAGTTCCTGTCCACCTGTCCAACTCATTTCCCAGTGAGTTCCTTTCTTTCCTTTTAGCAGCAAACATTATGAAAGAAAGAAAGAAGGAAGAGAGGTGGGGCAGGGGGCGGGGCGGAAGAAAGGACCCACATTCACCACTCCCACTTCCTGAAAATCTGCCTGCTCTCTAACCTGCAATGCTCTACTGAACTGTCTCTTAAAATCTAGCCTTGGTGCACTTTTTTTCAATTTGTATTCTCCTTACGTTACTCTGATATCTCACACAGTTAAGATGTCTCACCATGAAATATGGCTTTGGAGTCAGGATACTGGGAGTGAAACCATAAACAGCATATCTATTTTTTATCTGTTGTTTTAATGCTCTAATCTATATCAAATATGTGACAGGGTTCTATTATGAATAATAAATGGAATGCATATTTTATTATATGGTATTACAGTAAATGCAGAACTGCAAATGTAAAATCTTTTTGTGAAATTTATTTGTACATTTCAATTTTAGAATTAACAATATATTATTATTGATTAGCTAGGTTGACAAAATATATGATCACAAATCTCACATTTAAATTATCTAAATAGAAAATGGAGAGTGTTATAAAATATGCAATGCTTTCAAAAGAAAATCGTTGATGTAGAAACCTTGATTTTCTCCCTGGATGCTTCCATTGTTTTGCTATGTAAAATCACTGCATTATTTTTATATCTGTGCACTCAATTTGAGAAATTCCAAGATTTCAGACATAAGGAAGTTGGGTAATTAAGGGTATATATTTGAAGGAAATAAAGATGAATGCCTAACAAGTTGCATGCCATTCTTTAAAAATCTCAAAAAGTACATATCATCCTATTTTCAACATAAGTAATTTAAATAAGAAATGATTAAAGATGCTCTTACCAATTAAGTATTTGTTGATCACTTACTATAAATAAGGCACACAGAACGATGCTAAGAGACTGGTAATGGTGAAATGCAGAGAAATTTTTGTAATTGGCACAGCACCTCACTTATTTCTATTCTGTGTTTTTCCTTCTTCCATCCCCAAAGTGGTCAGAAGCTAGAAAAAGACAATTCCACCTTTCCTCCTGGCTGTCCTTTGGAAAGTCTAGGCTAGATTTTCCAGGAGGAGGAGGTGATGGGAGCTAGTACTTCCAAATTTCAAAAGCTTCAGTGGCGGGTCCAGAGGGAGTGCTTTCCCCAAAATGAAGAGAGGGGCAGAGATCAGAGCAGTCTGCACATTACACCCTGAACTGGAGGATTGCCCTGGGTTGTGAGTACAATGGCAGGACCATAAGCATGGCCTGCGTTTCTCTTCGCAGCCTGGGCACAGAACACAGAGAACAGGGCACCAGCAAGGGCCCATGCAGTCAGTGACACGAGATTAAAGCCAGCAGAGTTCTGAGACCTAGAGCGTGTCCAGGAGAGAGCCCTGATGACAACTGACATCAAAAATTTCCCAGCCTGACAGATTGGAAGCTTACTTCAAAAACTTTTGACCTCACTTGGTATTGTCAAAAAAAATCACAATACCCTCAACTCTAAATGACTCCAAGCAATGTACAGTCTACTCAGGAAGTAAGTTATACAGGGTCCAGCACAAATAATGCTTCTTTTTTATTAGAAAATCTTTTATTAGAAAATCATAAGCATGTCATTCTATAACATAACAATTTCACACTGAAGCACACCATATGACACTTTAGGTGAAATGTTCAACTTAGAACTATAAATTATTACACACACATTACCCTACCAACCACACTCAAGCAGGTGTTACTTCTGCCAGATCCTGTATGTGAACACAAGTTAGTAGTTTGTGGTAATGGATGCCAAGTGACAAAGAATGGAAGCAAGTTGGTCAGTAGAGAGTAATAATTCTGGGTAAAGTGATGAGGCAGATTTCTTTCACTTAGTTGGTCAAATATGCATTCCTAGATAATTTAGAACTTGGACTATTCTTTGAAATAATAAAAATATGGTACATGTTAGTGTTAATAGGGTAACTAAAGCAAACAAATAAGGAAACATGCTAAGATAATAATAATTGCAAATGCTCCCAGGCTTCTCAGAAATATAGGTTAAATAAAGTTACATTTTAAAATCTATGAATATCATCAAATAAGCATCCAGTTTATATGTTCTACTGAATGACAGCCCAATAATCATACATAAATGACTGTGAAGTGAGCACATATATGAACTTACAAAAAGTTTTCCTGGGCCCAAATAGTCCCTT